TTAAACATAGTGTTCGTCCTACTTCGTATATGGACTTTGGAGAAGATAAATGAGAATTTAATGGTTTTCCTTGGATACAAGCGGCTCCCCTTTGGTAGTTAAAGATTTTTAAAGACCACTCAGTTCACAGTTTCACACAATGACGATATGTTTTTGCAAATTGCAATTGAAACAAAAAAAATAAATAAATTCCAAAAAGTAATTAGAAAGTAATTTGAAAAACCCAACGAAATTAACTGGATTATAATAAACTCGGTTATAATTACACAAGTTTACAAATAAATATTTTTTGTTTGCTCATGGAATGAAACATATATTTTTGGAAAGGGCTTTGTTCGGTGGATAATTAACATTTTTATTTTTTTCCTAACATCCTTATCATCATGAAATTAAGGTTTCTTAAGAGGCTTTCTGGTATGTAGAGTGTTTATTGAAGTGGTCTTTGAATTGAACTCATATCCACTAGTTTCCCTGGTGTAACTGATATATTTTTCTATATTTCAACAACAATTTTCAGAGAATTTATACATTATTCATTTTTTATATTTGAATTTATTTTTGGCAAAATCCGAGAAAGGACGTAGACCTGTGTGCTATGCAGAGCAGACAGGAGGCTCTGAATACCGCCTTGAGCTGGGCTCAACCGAGAGGCCTCAATGTTAACCCGGCAAAGACGGAAATCTGTCTTTTCGCAAGAAAAACAAAACTGTCTACGTATAATGAACCTTGCTTCCTGGGCAAGAAGATACCGCTGACAGACATAGTTAAGTATTTAAAGTACTTTTAGACTATGAGACTTTGCGTATGACTTTACGAATGAAAAATCAAATGAAATTCCATCCGTGTGTTTACTTAAAAATACATTCCTGATCTAATTTTCCATCCGTATTTACTCTCAATGTGTGATGGTTTCGTTACACATCAGAGAACAGAATGAAACCAATCACGTTTTATGACCATTCGCAAATTCATTGCTTTTGAATTGCGTTTACTCAACAATAATACAAATGTACATTGCCTTTATTACAATCTCTTTTTATTTGACTTTATACATCAAGCAACGAAATAATTCAATGCCACATGAAAGAACTAAAAACATTCACACCATTCGTCCAGTATTCGTTGCAGAGTATGAAAGCAAACGAAACCTTTCGCAAACGTTTATATAATGTACAACACTAATACTAATGTACACGAGCAAAACTAAAACAAAAACAAATACTTTTGAGTAAGAAAACAAAAGCGGAAAAGTATTTAATGAAAGATTCATTTAGTGTGTTTGATTTCAATTAATTTTTTATTGTTTTTAATTGCTACTACTTAAAGGTACTTTACTTTATGTTATTTTGTATTAATACAAAGTATTATTGGAATATGTATTGTAGACAGCGTTGCCGTTGCGAGACTAAAGTCGCAATTTGACCCTTTTTAATGCTATACGCACAATTGGGACGAACGACGAATTTTTCGGAATGAATATTCGTCGTCAGAAATAGAACACACTTGGGTATATGAAAATGTACACAATCATTGCGTATGACGAAATTCGTCGTACGTAACGAACTATGCGATAGGTTTATTTCTATTTCTTACGCAGACGAACGACGAATTAATTGGGGAAAATTGTTTTAAAACCAATTCCGGTATCACGAATTTGCTGAAATTTTGCGGTTGTGGGTACAGCTAATGACAATAAAATATTATGTTCGAATATTCGAAATTATATTCGAAAATTCGAAGTTATGTTCGAAAAATTGTTTATGCTCTTAAAATAATCTCTGAGTCATAAAAACTAAAAATAAAATTTTCGAAAATTCGAACTTAAGTTGGAAAAATTTTTAAAGCCATTAAAACTAGTTCTTGTGGCCCGAATTGTCTGAAATTTGGCAATCTGGAGTACACTTGATGACACTACAATTCTATGTTGGAATATTTAAAATTAAGTTCGAAATTTCGAAGTAATGTTCGAAAAAATTTTGAAGCTGTTAAAATAATCTCAAAATTGGAGATATTCACAAAAATATAATTTTAGTTCTTTTCGAGGCCAATTTCTTACATTTTCTAATTTCGAAATAATGTTCGAATAAATTTTAAAGCTGTTAAAATTATCTCAAAATCGTGGAGATTCACAAAAATATAATTTTTGTTCCTTTTTCTTACTTTTTCCAATTTCGAACAAACAAATTATGAAACGAATTCGCAGTACGAATAATTTGATTGTGTTCCATTCGACGAATTTACGCAACGAATTTTTGTCGATTAGTTCGTCGTGCTATACGAAATTCGTCGTTCGTCCCAATTGTGCGTATACCATAAGTGCTTTGCCACTTTTTGTGACCTCTTGTCAAAATAACCTAAATTTGCGACTTTATCGCATTTTGCCACTGTTTACCCCTTTTTGAATAAAACACATTTTTGTTGTTTAATACCCACCATCAAATAAGGTAGTGATTGTTTTTGCCATTCCAATTGTAACACATCGAAATATATGTAGGACATGGCTCCACAAAAGTATATATATTCTTGGTCCTGAATTCTAAGACGACCTAGCCATGTCCGTCCGTCTGTCTGTTGAAAGGGTTGCAATTTTACACAAATATTTCCTATAGGTAGGTTTGTTTAGTATTGAAAATGGGCAATATTAGCCAACGTTTTGCATAGCCCCCATATAAGTGCCCTCCGAAAAACAACTTTAACAGACATATCCCCATTTTCTCAATGTCTGATTATATTTTATCGAAACGGTAGATTGTTAATTAATTTAACATTCAAACAATTAACATAAAAATTTTTTCATTAGAATCGAGTTACAGATTAAGCCCCCAGTATGAAATTCAAAATTGGTGAATCGTCTAACTAGAAAAATATTTTATGAATGTCCTTAATATGCTGAAACCTTAAAGGTGACAGCTAGAAAACGTTTTAGAAAATATAAAAATCGTTGATTTAATACAAATTTATGTCTCTTCTCAGCCTCCTAAATAAAGAAAATGGGGTAAATAATTTGATATTGAGTGTATCGACTGAATTTTATATCTGAGCATTAGTATTATAATTTTATTGCTAATTAAAATGTGGTTAATTATTTTGATTTATTTGCCAATTTAATGCACATTTAAATACAAATGAAATGATTTTACCTACTTTGAAACTTTTTGCGTTAAAAATACCCTTTCAGTGCGCCTTTTTTTCCGAAAAATCCCCTTTTTGTCCAACTTTTGGAAATTTTCCAAAATATGTATTAAAAACCGATTTTTCGGTTAACCACATATGAACAAAAACTTAAACTTTTATAAGCACATTATTTTAAGTTTACTCAATAGTCTTTATAATGAGCAAAACAATCAGCAAACGTTTGCGAAATTTATATGAATTTTGGAAAGTATAATCTTCATTCCATAAATAAAAAACACGGAAAAATTGTTAAGATAATTTTTTCTTACAACTTATTCAATTCATTCATACCAATCGTTTAGTATTCGTTGCTTTTGAGAGTATTCGTTGACATTTACAGAAGACAAGCAATACAAGCATAATTTTTCGATACGATCATTTGTTTTAAATAGTGCCGTGCCGTGCATTGCATTATTAAATTAGTGCATATTGTCATTTCAAGGCTAGTTTTATGCGATTGTATTCATAATCGAAAAAATAAGCATTCAAACCGTTCTCTGTTACATATTGCGTTTGCACCATCCCATCCGCTCTCTTCTACACAATATTTTGACAGACCATACTACTTGTGGTATAATGTAAAAGTAGCTTTAGGGTTAATCCTTGACGCGAAATTAAAATGGAGGCACCACATAGAGGATAGGATCAACAAGGCACATCGATGATGGGCGATATGTAGGAGAACTATAGGCATGAAATGGGGTCTTAGCCCTATTATGACAAATTGGCTTTATAAAAGAGTAATTAGACCAATTCTAGCTTATGCTTCAATAATCTGGTGGACTGCTTTGGACAAAAAGTGTAATATCAAAGTACTACAGGGAGTTCAGCGTACATGCTGCTTGGGTATAAGTGTCATGCGTACTTCTTCAACCTCAAAATGAACTAGTCTGAGGTTAGTATGATGGTACGTATTCTGAGTGGACACACATGAATACGAGCACATCTATACAAAATTGGAGAATGTGGAGAGGACAGTGAAACTCTGCAGCACTTTCTTTGCCTCTCGGCATTTGACGATGCTAGATCCATGAATCTTGGAAGTGTTGTTATTCCGGAAATAACATTAATGACTAACAATGATTGGAAAATTCTTAGGAATTACGTCCAGGAAACTGAGTTTCTGAACATTGAAAAATAGTACATTCAGTGAACAATTTTTTCTTTTTTCATGAAGAGGAGCGCACAGCAAGCCCGATAGTGACCAATGCTTATGTTAAAAAAAAAATACAATTTATTGGAGTAGTCTACCATTGTGATGGTGCATTCGTTTTTAAATTTTTTTAATAAGTGAAACAGATAAACATTAGCCCTACATAATTAACTTAAAATCGCTAGTATTTTATAAAATTTGGAATAATGACTGTTATATTCGCCACAAAATTATTTTTTCTTAAAAATGGTCTAGATATATCTGAATTAAGATAAAATTCAACATCAATGCGCTATCATTTAAATTGAATCATATTTAATTATGCTTATGATTGATATAGGGTATCATATGATCATTAAATTTCACCGAAAAAGTTTTTCGCTATGTTTTTCACATTTTTATTGCATATTTCTTCATTATAGCGCATATTTTTTATTTTTTGTGCATAAAAATCCTTACCTTGATGATCACACACGATTTTTACCCTTTGAGAGCAGAATAGATATAAATCAACTGTCAAAATTATGAACGTGTAACACAAGAAATGTCAAAAATACCTTTTCGAAATACGATGCAGGCCTCTAATAAATAACCCAATATTTTATTGCTCAAGCAACACAAATACAACTACAATATTAGCTTGAAGCATCCCTGAATTATAGAGAACTCATACCTGGTATCCACAAGTACATGGGAAAAAATTAAGATCATCTACTTCCAGTGGTTCCATACACAAAGGGCATTCAACTGGTTCATCAACACTATTGTTTAAATTATTCATATTTATATAGTATGTTGGAATTAACACGTCCTCTGAAAAGAAAAGGAAATTAAATTATTTTAAATTGTGTTTTTCAAATAAGCCATTGTTTATACCCACAATCAAAAAAGATGGGGGTATATTGATTTTGTAATTTTTTTGATAAGGTTTGTTTGAAAATGACAATATTGGTCTACGATTTTTCCTAGCCCCATACGGATAAAGGACTGCTATTAGTAAACCAATTATCGACGCGTCGATAATTGATTTACTAATTCTGAAAGGTGGATTCGAGTAGAACCACAATATGTTTTTGAAATTTGCCAAACACCTCCAAAATATTGAGTTACGGGAGTTACTTATTTAAATCTAAACCGTTTTTAAGTTTTCACGGATTTAGAAAGCAGAAGCTGAGGCCTTTATAATGACATATATAACGTTTAAGTAACCTGGAGAGGTATGTGTGAATTTCATCAGCAAACATATTTTTATTTTAGTTTTGCACCGTTGTCCAAGTTTGCAAATGTTTTTTGAAAGTATTTTATATAGGAACCGTACTATTTATTGATTAGAAACCCATGTCTATTCAGGAGAAAAACGCAACTTTGTTTTTAAAAATCCGTTAGCAATTGACGACGTTATTGATGGTTTTCTTAATGCAAAATTTTTCCAAAACTGATTTTCCGAAAGATGCTAAAGGGCTAAATAAGGGCCGATCCTCATACAATTTGGTGGAAAGATTTAGACTTATATAAAAGTTATTTATGCTGAATTTCACCGTGATATTGATGTATGGGATTCAAGTTATTTTCTGAAGGAGGATATGCATGGGCTCTAGGGTCAAATAAGGTCCAAACAATACAAAAATCTGTATAAATGAATTTGCTGTAATCTTTAGTGATACTGCTGATTCATTACACAATGTGGTATTATTTGACCCTAGTCCCCATACAATCCCTCCTTCAGAAAATGACTTGAATTCCATTATTCTCCTCTTAATATTAATATCACGATGAAATTCAGCATAAATAACTTTATGTAAACATAAATTCTTACACCAAATTTTGCGAGGATCAGCCCATATTTCATCCATATTTCATAGCATCCTTCAGAAAATTAGTTTATGAACAATTTTGTATTAATAAAAAGATCAATAACGTCGTCAAATGCTAACAGATTTTTAAAAACAAAGTTTTTCTCATGAATAGACATGGGTTTCTAATGAATAAATAGTACGGTTCCTATATAAAATACTTTCAAAAAACATATCCAAACTATAATGGTGCAAAACTAAAATAAAAATATATTTGCTGATTAAATTCACACATATCTCTCCAGGTTACTTAAACGTTATACATATATGTCATTATAAAGGCCTCAGCTTCTGCTTTCTAAATCCGTGAAAACTTAAAATCTGTTTAGATTTAACTAAGTTACTCAAGATTTTGGAGGTGTTTGGGAAATTTCAAAAACATATTCTTGTTCTACGCGGACCCACCTTTCAGAAAAATAGTATCACTTCCTTGGTATTTATTTTTGTCGCATAGTGTAATTAATCCAAGCCCTCAGAAAATGGCTTAACGCTCATAACCGGCTCAATAATAGCAGTATATTGATCACAAACAAGATTAATAAGAACAGAAATTTACCAAATTTGATAAGAATCGGTTCCAATCGCACTTTAAATACACTTTTGAAAGCGTATTAAAGTCCTTTTATATTAAAGTTATAAAAGATGGAAACGAACAAGGAATCATTTTAAATATTAATAAAGTATATGTCCATTAGGGCTATATCCAAAATTAAGCCCTAAGTTATCAGCCTACTAAATTATTTTTTGATTTTTCGTTTTCACTTCCGAACAAAAAAATTCGAAAACTTTTCACATAAAAATAATTAGGTGAAAGCAAAACGAATATACTTTTTCATTGCGAAAAATCGCTTTTGATTAAAATAAAATGTCAAAAGCTAACACTTTAGATATTAATTTGTTTAAATATAATATTTTTATAAAAATATATACATATTTACGAATTTTTTAAATAGCACAAATTCGATTGAAAATCAATACAATAGTAAAAAGCTACGGGAATTTTTAATATATTTTTAAAATATTAAAAATATTTTTTAAAAATTTTCGTTTATTTTTGCGCGGAAATGATTACGATTTTGTGTATTAACATTTTCTTTGACATTTGTTAAACTTGTTGTAAAACTAAATTTGAAACCAAGTAAAAACGGGAACATCACATTTTTAATTTCGTGTAAAATCTAGATTTCATGTGAAATGTTGTGAAAGCCAGAACATACATAAATGTATTATATTTCTAGTTTTTTGTTTACAACTAATATTTAAAAATATTTTTTTACTTTAATCTTGCCAGAAAATTATAAACTTTGGCAATCCTAAGACTTTTTATTTTTATACCCTTCACCTTCGTGAGAATGGTATATATAAGTTTGTCATTCCACAATATAATTTTCCATAACCCCATAAAGTATATATATATTCTGGATCCTTATAGATAGCGGAGTCGATTAAGCCATGTCCCTCTGTCTGTATGTCTGTTGAAATCTGCGGTCGGCAGACCCCAAAAATTTTTGGGATCCAAATCTTCAATAATTCTGTCAGAGATGCTTTCGAGAAGTTTTCTATTGAAAATCCGCAAAATCCGTCCACAAATAACGGAGATATAAGTAAAAATCGGAAACAACCTCTGAAAACTTTGTCAAAAAAAGATACCTAATATTTTGCATGCAGAAGAAAGTTAACAACAATTGTGCTTGATTGTATGTGAGTACGTTGTTGTCGCTCGATAAAGAATGAAAATAAAAACGACGTTTTGTATGTTTTTCTTGTTTATCACAGTCAGTGGAGAGATTAAAAAAGATGTGTTAAAAATGTGTTAAATGTTAAAAAAATAAAAAAACTACGGTTAAGGGTATATAAGATTCGGGTTAATTTTATTCGGTGACTATTAACAAACATTCTTACTTGTTAATATTCCTATGGGCCAAAGGTTGATTTTTTAAACAGACCGAGTTTAAATATAATTTATAATGCTGACAACAGATTTATATGTATTTAATAGCAACCCCGCCCTCTATTGGTGTTACGCCCATTTCAGTTTTAAATATTTATATTGATTTGAAAGATACTTGTACAGAATGTCGTAACTGTATATATTATAATTTGCCAGATAAACGATATTAGCATATTATTCATATGGGATATGCCACGCCCACTGTATTTCGTACTACCATGTCCCAAATATTTATATTCATAAGAATATACTCACACAAAATTTGATGACTATAGCTGTAATAGTATCCCAGATAAATATATGCATTTTGGTATTTAATTTATATAAGATATGCCACTACCACTATGGCTAATTCACCCATTTCCCCCTAACTGTTCATATCGATGTCAAAGTTGACCATTCAAAATTTGAGGTTTATAACTGTTATAGTTTCCCAGATAAACAAATTATAGTCTTTTATTAATATGATAGGTCACAAGTACAAAATTTGGTCACTCAATCTTTTATAGTTTTCCAGATGTACGAATTTTAGTATTTGATTAATATGGGAGGTACCACGCCCAATAATGATAGTCATCCCATTTTTTCTTAAAATGTTTATATGGTTGTAAAAAGGTCGGTGCAAAATTTTAAATCTCTACCTATTAAAGTTTCTCATATATACGATTTTTAATGCGTATTTTTTTATAGGCGTGGCATCTCGCCCATTTAAAATTGGAAAACAATATGTTGCTTTTAGTACCTTCCAGACTATAGGAATTTACTGCGAAAATCGGTCCATTTGTTAAGTTGTTTATAGTCTTAACATAACATTTCATAACATTTTTATTTCTAAATTTTGCACAAAATATGCGATTTTGGGTCAGAAAAATTTAACTGGTGCGAAACCGAGCGGATATATAATGGGGTATACACATATAGGAGAGGGTTCAGACAGTGTTTTAGGTTCTTTTAGGTTCTCTTTTGTTCCCTAAAAGTTGCGGTCTGTTAACTACATTTTTTTTGCAAAATTTTGACTTAAAAAAAAAACGTTTATAATGTTCTAAAGTGGAATTCAAATAATTTTACAAAATTATTTCATTTTACTAAGAAAATTTCAAATTAAGTACAATGCTGTTGAAATACAGTTGTAACCTTTTGGCTTCCGATGTTTACTAGTGTTTACTTTCAAATAAGCCATTTCAAAAAAATGGTCCACAGTGCAAGAAACATATTAGCGATTTTCACTCTTGGTAGTATATTTAATACCCTATTATATTTACACCGACTTTTTATAGGAAGCGTGAGCTGATTATTGTTATTACGCAAAAATTAAATAATAACGTAATAACAAAAATCTGCTGCTTTACCTAGTTTCTGAGATATTCCAAGAACATTTATTTTTGACCACGTCTTACTTTCTTCACTTTTTCATAAATCTATATATGTATATAAAAGTTAATGTGTGTATGTATGTATGTATGTATGTATGTATGTATGTATGTATGTATGTATGTATGTATGTATGTATGTATGTATGTATGTATGTATGTATGTATGTATGTATGTATGTATGTATGTATGTATGTATGTATGTATGTATGTATGTATGTATGTATGTATGTATGTATGTATGTATGTATGTATGTATGTATGTATGTATGTATGTATGTATGTATGTATGTATGTATGTATGTATGTATGTATGTATGTATGTATGTATGTATGTATGTATGTATGTATGTATGTATGTATGTATGTATGTATGAATGTATGTATGTATGTATGTATGTATGTATATATGTATGTATGTATCCCTGTAGGATTTTGTGAGTTAACTAAAAATCAAGTTAACTTTTTGATAACTTCTTATGACTAGCTTCAAAGTAACTCAAAAATGATCGAGGAAATGAACAAACATTTCAATAAAATTTTAAATAAAAAATAAAATAGAAACTCGTATCAAATTTGTCAAACAATTTGTATTGAAAAAATTAAATTATGAAAATGAAAATTTGTTTCAGCAATGA